CTTTAAAGATTCTTAATCAGATTCAGACAATTATCTCCTCAGAGTGTGGTTAAGGTTTCAGGTGTAGGCAGGTAGAAGGAGGTGTGTAATGGTGATGTAGGGTAGGGAAGAAAATTTGAAGGGTGGTAGATGTTAGAAACCCTAAGATGAGATTAGAATTATGCTAGTTTTAATACCAAATGATATCGAAGTTAACCCAAACCACAACAGAACAATTATATTATTCTTGCAATTCAAATAAGGAGTCACAAACAATCAACATAAATGAGAAAAAGACAATACAAACAAGTACCCCCAGTAGGGCGAGATTCGAAGATGGAGGATGCAGTTATAGGAGGAAATTGAGAGGTTTGGGTGGTTGAGTGGTCAACCGGTAGCCAGAGAAAGGCTGACATGCGACTGGACAGCAGCAAGGAAGCCAAAAGGGAGGTGGGAAGGTGGTGGCAGCTAAGGGAGGTGAGGGATGTGAGGTTGTTTGGCGGATGGACAACATATTAGGTGGCTGTGAGTGAGCCTGGGAAGGGCGGCGGCAGGTTGGGGCGGCTATAAGGAAGGTTGTGAATTCAAGGGGAGGGGAAAGGAGGTGCTAAGGAATTGCGGGCTGCAAAATTACAACTGAAGCACGTTCTCGCCTTCAGATACAACCTTAGTGGGGAAACACCGAAAGCCGATGGCTATCCAAAATATAAATACATGCAAAACCAACCTAAAACACGAAGGAATAACATATATAATACTAGAGTAACTAAGGAGTGGCGTAGAGGCCCCTCATTGAGTGGGCGGCAATCCCACGCCTCAGATGGGTCGATTGGCCCCAAGTTAGCTTGGAACGGGAAATCTCGATTTGCGTCTATTGTTATCCTACGAGACGGCGCTCGCGGGAATGATGTCTGTGTCACTCTTGGCATACATACTCCACCACAACAGATACAGATCAAAAGAAATAGCAGGATTAGGTTTATCGCATGAGAGTGAATGATAGGAATCATGGAATTTCAAGGTGTCTTGTGATAAATTATACAATTTAAGGTTGCATAGTAAGAGTGGGTTTTGAAGTGGATTAGGCTTATTTATGAAATTTGGGGGTATCAAGCTGAATGAGAGCAAGATTCCAAGGATTGCACTATTTTCATATTCATGTTTAAGTTAGATTAGGAAAGTAAATGTATGAGGGTGGCATATGAAAACTTTAAAAATTCTATTTTTGAAGCTGAAATGAAGAGGGATATAGTTTAATAAAGTTTGAAAACAAAATGTAGGTTTTGGGAATTGAGCAGGATAATTTCATTTATATGAAAAGGGGGTATAAATATGTTTACATGAATTATAAAATAGGAAAGACATAACTCATATTACTACGAATCAATTCATTTACTAATAACCACCCAAAGATAGAAGGAAAGACATAAAGTAGGAAATACATAAAATAGGAAAAAAACTGGAAAGAAAGTTGTTGACCTCATTTTTAGTGAGGTCTGGTCTTCCTCTTAGGGTTTAGGATCTAGCCTTAGGGATCTCCCTTTGACTATCTTAGAACCTTAGAAGTGGTGCCCGCCTCATTGTAATTTGACCTATTTCCGTCCTCTTTTGTGGTTCCAAGTGTGTGGTATCGACTTCTAGCATTTAGAAGGGTGAAACCAACATGAGGAAACCCAAAAGGGATCCCTATAGGACCTTTTTGAGCCTTAGGGTGGCCTTCTGCACAATTCGCACTCCCGCGCGCACAAACTTCGCAATTCGGAGAGCCAACACGTCCGATCGCCATAATTCACATCGCTTGCACTGTTACCCGTCGTAGACTCGAATGAAATTTTTGAAACAATCGAGCGCGGGTCAATATTTTTGTGAAATTTGAATTTCGACGCTTTTTTGACCCGATCGTCGACGACGTCGTCCGAGCGACCCCGGATGACGAAACGGACTGCGCCAACGCGTCCGGAACGTCAATTTTGCCTAGGGAGGACACCTATTTTGTCGCATCGTCGCGCGCGGGTAAAATGTGTTTTAATTAATATATATATATATATATATATATATATTTATATATATAT